GTTAAATTTGATTTCTCTCATGGTTCTATTATTTGGGATGGTTTGCAATATTTGTTTTGTTTGATAGGCTCGCAAGTCTGACCTTATGCTCTTTTTAACTTTATTGTTAAAAGCCTTATACTCTGGTGATTCTTTCGATGTTCTTCTTTCTTCCCTTAAATCCAGTGTTGTTTGTTTAAATTTCGTTTTTCTCAGATGTTTATTTTTACCATAGGTCGAAATCCTAGAGGGTCCTAGAAAGAAATACGTGTCCTAAATAATCCTATAGTCTAGAATCTAAGAAGTCAGTAAAGGTGAGGTGATAAAACGGTAACACAAGAAAAAGTAATAAAAGACGTTGATGGAATCTCAAAGAAGCTATCAGGCACCATTAACATCTTGAACAAACACATTCTAGTTACTAAGAAAAAGTGGATGACCAGAGAGTTTTCAAATTTTATGAACGACTGAAGAAAATATAAAGAGAGAAACATTGAAAAATATAAATGGATTTAAATATCGATAAAAAGAAAATCTTCTTCTTCCTTCTTGTATGTAGGCTTTAAAGAATGTTTCTTCTTCAATATTAGCCTTCTAAATTGTTTAAATTATCGCGCCATATTTTTCTTGGAATTCAAACTTCTTTCTTTTTCTTGGAAATTCAGTTTTCCTGGAACTTCAAAAATTAAAGCAAGAGAATATCTTGGATATCCGTGCAAACCAAATTATTTTAAATGTATTTAATTATCATCTAAATTTAAAGAGTAGTGAAAGTGTTAGAAGTTTAATCGATGAAGTAAGTGTTATGACGAGAATAGGTTCTAGTACTATTTCTAAAATACGCAAAGAAGCTGCGGAAGGAGGCCTAAGGAACAGCAGAAAGTTCACTTACGACGCAAACATGTTACGCACAACAATCTGGAGAATACTCCATGAAATGAACTTTGTTTTTTTGCAAACGAGGAGTAAAGTCGACCATGATGGAATGGTCCGATATTTTGAAATGGAGGCATTAGTATTTGCGTGAGATAAAGAAATTTCGTTCCCAAGGATAAACCGTCGTTTATTTGGATAGAACTTGAGTGAATGTCGAACATAGTGTTTCCAAAGAATGGAAGAATCTCTTAGTGATTTTTGTCACTGCGTTTGATGCTTTTGTTAAGGGGTTGTCAGCTGGCCTAAATCAGCTGACATAGCGAGGCCCCCAATTTGTTATAATGCATGCGGGTAGTGAATTCTGATTTGTGGACTGTGCTGATTTTTGGTTTTAGCTAAAAAAACTCAGGGAACTATCATAATGAGATGGATGGTCCTATATTTGATGGTTTAAGGAAAAGCTGCTGCTTAATCTTCCAAAGAAAACTGTTGTGGTGATGGACAACGTCTCGTACCATTCGAGGAGAGAAGTGATTCCGACACAAGCTTTTAATAAAGATCAAATTAAGACATGGTTGCTGGAGAAAGATATCTTTTTTAAAGGTTATTTAAAATCAGAGAGTTGTGCAAAGAGAAAAATATTGCCATTCTAAGACTACTTCCATACCATTGTGAGTTGAATCCAATTAAAGAGGTATGGAGTCAAGTCAAAAGACATATTGCCTTACACAACACAGAGTTTAAGACTGCCGCTATGGAACAATTAATAAGAAATGCATTTGGTGTAGTAACAGTGGAAAACTGGAAAAATTATTGTAAACTTGCTATTAAGGAAGAGCAAAAATGTTGGGTTACTGACGGGTTGATGTACGATATTGATCCTGTGGTAATAAATGTGACGATTGACAGTGATAACTTAAGAAGTACAGAAACACAATTATGAGAGTTTTAAATGGTCATCGTTTCTTAACTTTAGGAGAGAATAAAATTTCTAATTGGTATAAATAAATACAGGTTGTAATAATATAGACCAAAAATGTAGCAAATAAAAAAAACAAATCCTTCGTTTAATTTACGTTCTGGAGACAAAACATTTGAGTCGTTTAGTTTCAAAACCAGATACATCACTATTTTCACGAAATTAAGATTAAGTCGTTTTTGGCAAGTTAAAGGCTACATCCATGTACCTGATAAATCTTACGCTTCAAAAACAGATACTTCTCATTGATTTTAGCCTTTAAATTTTAGAGTTAGTTTCAAAACCAGATAAGTCATACAACGTCTGTTTCAAAAGCAGATACATCACAGAAGTGAATATGGCTTGCGCACATTTGAATTAAGTTATCCACAGCTGGATTTCTCAGCAATGTGTCAGTCAGTATTACTCACAAGCTTGTGTGTGTTTGTGTTACTCTTATCATCTAAAGTGTTTTCTTATCATTCTAAAGCTATAAATTTTATTCTTCTTCTTCTTTAAGTTCCATCTTCTATCGAAGGTTGGAAATCATCATGGCTATGCGGACTCCTCTTTGTATTTTGATATTTTCGGTGTACTGGCTGTCAACTCTTACCTTGGCAGTTTGATTCCAATATAAATTAGATATAATTTTCAGATCACGACTGTTAATATTTTTGCTTTTTAATATATCTACAAGCTTTTTTATGTTGAACTTTATCAAATGCCTATATAAATATGTATTAATTTGATTGCTTGTTAAAATACAGTGCGAGAGTGAAAATAATGGAAGTCCATCCTTCAGAGACGGAAAATCCCCGGAAGAGAAAGCGAAATATAGATTCGTGGGCAAGAGAAGCAGTTAAAAAGCAACGGTGAGTTTTAAGTTAGGTCGTATTAAATTCCTTTTACTAATGTGGTTTTTGGCTTTCGCTTCGTAAGGGGCAATTAATTAGCCAGCATACTTCAGTTAATTAGTCAGCACACTTCAGACAAATTCTGCAATCGATTTATCTTACAGAAAATGCGTTTTTTATTATTCAGGACTTTTATTTGTTTATTTGTATATGGTCCTCCTGGGCCACCGAAGAATATAACTTGTCGACATGGAAAAAAAGGGTCAGCTTATCGTTGCGGCGAAATACAACGTTGTGATCAGTTATTATTTCACAAGAAATTTTACAGGACAAGTAGTGGGGGATCCTTAGACTTAAAAAGTAAACAAGACTCACTGTCTTGACTGGATGCTTCCGCTCCAAAAAAATCAAGACTTGTTACCAACACAAAGAGACCTAAATCAATGACTGTGTCGTATTTTATTTTCTGTAAAAATAAGAAAGAAAAGATTCGTGTATGCCAAAAGGCATTTTTAGACACTTTGCGCCTATCAAAGAACAGGGTAACAGGTGTTGTTACTCGACATTTTAAGTCTTGTACAATGCCTTCAGAGACTAGGGGAGGCAATCGAAAATACAAACTATATGAAAAGGAAAGAGAATCTGTAAAAGCTTTTATAAAAAAATTTAATGTAATCGAAAGCCATTATTACAAAAGTAAAACCGCATGTATTTAAGTTCGGATCTTAATATAAATAGGATGTTTAGAATGTATGATGCTGAACGGCTGGCGGGAGTAAGAAAGTTAAAGTTTCGTATTTTCGTCACATATTTCGTACAGTATTTAATATTGGTTTTGGGAGCCCAAGAACAGATGAATGCTCAACATGTATTTCCCTTTCTGAGAGAATAAAAAATTTATTCATTTTTAAAGGAAAAACGGAAAGATCTCTTAATAATGTCATTTGATTGCCAGAAAAATCAAGTTCTGCCTCGAGTTCCAGATCAGAGTGCATACTATTCGCGACAGCTGTACAAGTATAATCTTACTATAATCGTTGGTGATTCGAAATGTAGACAAACTAAGGAAAATGTATACACTTATGAATGGAATGAAACCGATCATAACGCAGGTCCCAAGTATGTTCTGTTGTGTACCATTGCCTAACGAATATCAACATACCAGAAACTATAAGAGTTGTTCGTTTAGTATCAGATGGGTGTGGGGCACAAAATAAAAATTTCTACGTGATGAGTATGTTGAGTTTCTGGTTTTTGATAGATAATAGATAACATAAAAACTCATTGTCTCCAAGTCAGAGATGTAGTACATTCAAGTCCTTCCTTTTTAAATTTAATGTTTGTTTCGTCCCCCTTTTAAGTGATTTCTGTGTGTCCTGAATTGTCCTTAATTGTTTTAATTTTAATAATTTTATATAACTGGACTTTACAATCATTTGCCATATATGTCAATAGAACTTTATCAAAGAAATTTGATAATTACAAGCTGAAAGAGTTGCGCACCCACACAATTTGTACATCTAATCACATTCATTGTCATACAACTGTCACCTTCATAAAATAAAATCTCAATAAATAACACACATTTCATAAATATATCTCTTGAATAAATATAAATAACTTTTAAATAATTGAGACTTAAGTTCTCCATTCAACAATATAGGATAGTTTGAACCATGTTCTTCCAACCATCAATTAATAGAGTACCGGCATCATTTAATTAACTTTGTATCGAGACCTGAAGATGCTTTGCATATTGTAGAAATCGAAACCGGTTGTCTAGATAGTTAAATTAAACTGATTGTGAGTAAGTCTTATTTATTATTTCTTTTACCTATTTGAAATGCACACAAGCAACACATTCATGATGTTTATAACATAAAACTTCTGAATGCGTTGAGATGAGATAGTACCAAATAATACATTGATTAAATTTAACTCAGACACTTTGTCGTGGCTGAGTGTTTATTACTGTTACAGATATAATGGTCGAAATTCAGTACAAATTATTTTTTAAAAATTTTATCGCGTATTTTATTATTATATACATATTATATTATCAACAGAAATTTGCACTTTGTACAGTCTTGTTTATCTAACAACGAACTTATATAATTTTATGTTTTAAAATATTTGTATTGTTATATTTTAATAATTAGTAATAATTTTTGAAATTAATTTAATATTTTAATCTGCCATTCAACTCTCGTTCCAATCACATGGTTTCTTATAAAAAATATCAAACTTACTTTACCCCACGCCCATGCTTTCCGAGCAAAAATGAACAAACCTACAAGAATTCCAAGAATGTCAAGCCGGACTTTTGTACTCACCTCTAAACAAGCAGCAAATGACAAAAATGCCAGCAAAAAATCGTATCCCATCAAAAATCATGTTGAAATGCTCGTCACGTTCACATTAAGACACTAAAATTGGGGTTATTACAAGCTTTTCTCAGTCTTTCTTCCAGCGTTTGCCGACACAATTGGGTCGGAAACCACTGTCATCCGAAGAATTGGAAATTTTTGCATTCCAGAGCGCATATTTTGCCATGTTCGCTACTGCGCAAACGGTCAAATTCGATTTTGTACATTGAATCATTCTCTGGACCGTCGGGGGTGGCAGATGACGATAACAGGGTGGAGAATTGATTTATTTGTTTGCGGCTTGGAAACAATAATCAGAACGCCGGGTTCAAAGACAGGAGGAGCGGATACGGTGGAGGGTGCATAAATACGCGATTTATATACAGGGTAATATCTAATAATTGCTTTGTTTTGGATCATTGGAAAATATGAATAAATTTGCAACTTTTAATCCCTGTAAATAGATATAATCAATGACAAACATTTGGTGGGGATATTCAATAAAATGTACACAACAGGAACAATAAATTCTCCGATAACATCAACATTTAATCCGATTTTAAAAAAATGCAAAGCAAGACACAAGAAAGGATTACGGCAATGAAAATTTTTCCTTTTGGACTAGGCGTCAGTCGCTTAGTCACTCTCAATAATTTCATTAACCCTCTCATTCATAATTTTAAGGATTTTTTTCTTAGAACAAGTATTTTATTGCGTAATATTAAAAATCAACATTAGAAAATGGTAAGTATAGTAAGTGTAAAACATGAAATTTTTTTCTTAAAACCTAAAAAATAGTCCGTCCACTCTAGTAGTCACTATGTACTTGCGGAATCGCGGAAGCGTCATTTACTGGTATGAAAACGTTTGAAGCACGATGGACACAGTGGCTCGTTGCACCTTTTGCAGATGTATTTTGTTTTTCGTTTGCAAGGTTTAGAGCAGTGATTCCCAACCGATGGGCGATTTGAGATATTCAGGGGGCGATAAAGCGAAGGGGGCGACAGAGAAAAGAGGCGATAAGGGGGCGTTTAGCATCCGGAAAATGAGAAATGGGTAATTGAGAAAAAAATTACAATACTTTCGATCGGATAGCCATAGGATAATAAAAGTAAATATATGTATACCAATGCAGGTAATAATAACACAAACATCTCGTCTAGTCACAGCGAGATATGAATCATAATACAATTTAATTCTATACATTATTGTTATTCTTCTATTGTAATTCAATACATTACAACGAATTCTGCATTTTCCTTTGATCGAGCTTTGATGAAAAGCTATGAAGAAAAACGACAAGGGTTTACTTGCTTCCTACTTTTAAGGTATCATTGTTAATAAGAAAAAGTGCCAAGCCGCACACAATTGGAGAAGATCTCATCCTCCCAGCTGTCAGAGATAATTGATACTATGTTGGGACCAAGTAAGGCCAGCCAAGTAACAGATGCAGTTCCTCTCAGCAATAATACTGTCTCCAGAAGTATTGATGAAATGGAAACGAATGTCGAAGATGTTCTCTGTAACAAATTGAAAAGCAAAGAGCTTACTGTGCAACTTGACGAGAGTACCCTGAGTGACAGCACAGCTTTGCTGCTGTCATATGTCCAATTCATTGAATAATGGAGAAATGGTCAAGGAAATGCTGTTTGCTAGAAGTCTGATTACTGAGACAAAAGGATCTTCCATATTTGAGGTCGTTAAGAGATTTTTTGAGGAAACAGAGATTCCCTTATCAAATATGATCGCCTGTGCTACTGACGGTGCAGCAGCAATGACAGGACATCATCGGGGATTTATTGTACACCTGAAACAAGCAGTATCTGGAATTTTGTGTGTTCACTGCGTCATTCACAGAGAGCATTTGGCTGCCAAGAATTTGAGTGGGAGGTTGCACGATTATCTTCGACTTGTCATAGATGCGGTAAATAAAATTAAAGCAAAACCAAAGAATGATCGAATATTTCGTACACTCCGTGAAGAAAATGATGATATATTTAATACATTGCTACTACATACATAAGTCCGCTGGCTTAAGGCAATTGCTTACGGCGGTTCTTCAATCTCATGGATACTCTTATTGAATTTCTTACTACTGACCCCACACTGAGTACAGAACTATAAGAGAAGCGAAATGACATCGCTTACTTATCAGATATTTTTTTAAAATTAAATGAAATGAACCCGCAACTACAGGGGAAGAACATAAATATGGCCAAAGCGAAGGGAGTAGTCGGAGCATTCATTGACAAACTATCTATTTTTGAAGAGAATATGCAGAGAAGAGATCTGACCAAATTTCCCAACTTGAAATCTTCTTGTGGTGATTCGAAGGATCTTCAAACATACTGCCTCCACCTTCAAACACTGAAAGAAGATCTGCAGTCCCGATTCCAGACTGGACTAGGTTTATCAATCCTTGAGCGTGGAAGTTTCAACGGTATGTCCTTCTCTTCAAGAAAACTTGATTGATTTGAAACATGATGTTGAAATTGAAAGTTTGTTTCGGAAGTGTTGGTATGAAAGATTTTGGCCGCGGATAAAAGAAGTGTATCCAATCTTGTGGAATGCAATCAAATCATTATTATTAGCATTCCCCACAACATATCTAGTGGAGAAAGGTTTTAGTCCTGTGTGTATAAGAAAAACAGACAAAGAAATAGGCTGGACATAATAGAAAAAAGGGATATGCGGTTGTTATTAACTAACATTGAGCCAGACATAAAGAAATTATGTGAGGGACACCAGGCCCAAGGAAGCAATTAACAATTCTTTTACACACATATTTATATACATATATTCGATTTTATAACGTCTTACGACGTTGTCCGACTCCCAAACGCCACTGTATTCTGTCTTGAGTTAGGTCTTCGTCCAGATTTCGAGCGCTAATCGCTTTCCTAACTCCCAGGTTCCAGCTCTGTGGTGATCTTCCTCGTTTCCTCTTCTCTGGGGTTGCCACATCATCGTTTTTTTAGACAATCTTTCGTCCCCCATTCGGCTCACATGCCCATACCATATGAGCTGTTTTCTTTCAATATCCTCAACTATAGTGCCCTATATACCCATTTGTTGTTTTATCACTTCATTCCGTATTCTGTCGGCTCTTGATATTCTCATCGATCTTCTGATGGCATCCATTTCCGTGGCTTCGACCTTTTTCTTATATTTCTCGGTTATTCTCCATGTCTCAGCTCCATAAAGTAGGCTAGTTTTAACCATTGTCTCATAGATGTTCCATTTTATTTTCTTTGATATTTCTTTACTCCATAGAACTCCGTTCAAACATGCTATAGCTCTTCGTGCTTGTACAATTCGATGTTCTATTTCTCGTTCGTCTTTTCCACTACGGTCGAAGATGACGCCCAGGTATTTATATTCGTCACATGGATTTATTTTTTGATTGTCATCGATATCCAGTTGTTCTGCTTCAGCTCCAATTGAGAGGTATTTTGTCTTTTCTAAATTTATATTTAATCCCCATTTCTGGTATTCTTCAATTAGTTTTCTAAACACAGACATATTTATCATTTTACGAAATGTAAAAATAAATGTGGATACTTACTGTATATATTCATTATTTATTTCAATTTAATTTTAGGGGGGGGATTAGGTGATTGTAGTATTCATAATTGGTGAAACCGGTCTAAGGGGGCTATCATGGGAGAAAGGTTGGGAGCCACTGCTTTAGAGTGGAATCTTCGAGCATTTGGTGTATTAATTAGTTGTGGCCAGTGCCCCCAATTACTTTGTCTAATTTCAGGGAGTGCATGATGATTCGGTTTTTCTTCTTCAAAATGGGAGATGGTGTACCAGACGAAGGTCCAGCTCGTTTATTTTCTTTCTGTGTTCCCAAATTTATTAATGCTCTGGCAATACTTGCTTTAAATTCAAGCAGATCTTTTTTTTATTTCCGTTTTTCTTGTACAAAATCCATGCATTTACAACAAGAATATCCACAAAATGCATAAAAACTCTTATAATACCAGCGTTTGTTTTTTCTCCTTAGAGGATACAGGGCCAACAACTAGTCCATCAGGTTTACTTCTCCCATGTTTTTGTTATAAAACTAAACAGAAAATAGTCTGTTCACTTTTATAATAGTCTTAGTAGATTTACACCAGCGTTTTGTTTTATTCTGAGATTGTATTCCAGCACAATTAGAAACAATGTATGTAGTCTTGTTGTATAGCTATTTAGAAAAAATTATATTGCCACCTTTAGTACTTGCAACGGATGAAGTTCCCCTACCCTCTTGTTTCATTTGTTTATCTGTTTTAGTCGGAGAGTTCCTGTCGCCCATATACTTTCTTATGTAGTTACTCACAAATTATCACAACATACTTTATGATTGATTCTCTCTAGGTCGTCAGTTAGATGCAATACTACACAGTGGCGGCTCGTGACATCTGCTATAGGGTGTGCTGCATGAACCACGGTCAATATAAAATAATAGAAATAGAATAACATACGAAAACAAAAACAATAAAATTAGCTTTAATACTAATTAATAGTAACTAATAACGACATGCTATAAAAATCTGATTAACTTACATTTATTGCATTTTTCTAAATTGGAAATTAATACGCCGGTCCTTTTTTGTCGCAAACTTTTCGATTACTTTATCGTTAAAGTTCGGTATTGAAGCGATGAACTTTTTTTCTATCGAGAGTGTGGAAAGGGCTGTTAATCTGTCTTCGCACATTGAATTTCTTAAAAATGTTTTGATCCGTTTTAAAGTTGAAAAACTACGTTCAGCTTCTGCTGTGGTCATTGGCGTAGTCACCAGAATTTGTATCAACTTTTTGGTTTCTGTTAATGTGTCCTCTAAATTATTAGAAATTATAAATTTTAGTAAAGGCACTGCACCTTTTAATGTTCTACACTCGATATTGGAATACAAAACTGACAGTTCTGTTCGCAAACGGTTTTTATCAAAGAAGTTATAAGCTGTACAAGTTAAATCCAATTCATTTTCAGGAAACTTATTATTATATTTTTCGAAATGTTCTGAAGATAAAAGTGTT